TTCAGCTCAGGTCATGGTCCCATGGTTCCTGGGTTTGAGCCCTACATCAGGCTCTCTGCTGTCAGGGCAGAGCCCATTTCGGATCTTCTGTCCTCCTCTCTCTCTGCCCCTCTCCTGTTCGCGCTCTCTCTCTCTCTTTCTCAAAAATGAATAAACATTAGGGGAAAAAAAGGAAAGAGGAAATGTCTGAAATCAATAATCTAGGCTCCCACCTCAAGAAATTTCATTTTTAAATTTTTTTGTTTTAATTTTTTAAAATGTTTTTATTTATTTTTGAGACAGAGACAGAGTGTGAGCGGGGGAGGGGCAGAGTGAGAGGGAGGCGCAGAATCCGAAGCAGGCTCCAGGCTCTGAGCTGTCAGCACAGAGCCCGACAGGGGGCTTGGACTCACGGACTGTGAGATCATGACCTGAGCCAAAGTCGGACGCGCAACTGACTTAGCCACCCAGGCGCCCCTCAAGAAATTTTAAACAGGAAAATAAACTGAAAGCAATCAGAAATAAGGTAATAATGACAATAATAACATCTATACATTCTAAAACAAATGTCATGGATAATTTAAAAAATGATAAAATATTAAAAAGGAAATAAAATCAATGATTAAATACAAATATACTGTCTTTATCAATGGTCACAATATTGTAAAGAGCTCATTTTCACCCCAAATGTTTGATTCAATGTAGTAAAGTTAGAATAGAACCATAATATAACTTTTAGATGGTGGAGATGTTCTCAAATTCACAAGGAAGCAAAATATTTCAAAGAGAAGAACTTTTCTGGGGGTGGGGGGAATGAACCACAAAGGAGGATATGGAAAAATAATACACCAAAAGATTCTCTAAAGTTTGTTGTGGGAGGAAAAACCCCATCAAATTGAAGAGGGATATGGAGGTTCCAGAAACAATCCCTTGTATATATGGAAGTTTAGTATTTGATAAAGTTAGCATTCAAGTAAATTGTAAAATGATTATTTAAAATTGTTTAAGGAGAATATATTTATGTCTTTTAAAATGTGGCTAATGTCTGAATTCAGAAAAAAGTTTTGAAGCTAAAATTTAAATTTAAAAACTTTTCTAAATAGTTTATGGATAAAGCGTGCATAACTTAGATATTTTACCCGAATATGAATGTTTATACTGTCAGTTGATGAAACAAAACATGGAAAGTATATGAAGGGTGGGCTGAAAAGTTCTTAGGAAATGAGATTTCCAGGCTAGAGGAGTGACTGAAGCAATAGAAGATATGCTTGCCATGTACTCAAAGATGGATAACATGGCTAAATTTAGTAGGAAAATCCTTGAGGATAGCCATTAATCCAAGACAGAGCACTTATCTGTGAGTCTTGATGGCCGAGGGTAATTGTAGACAGGGACTCTTAAAAGGAGAGGAGAAAATCTCTTGATAGAAGTAAAACAGTTTGTTTTCTAAGATCTGAATGAGTAAACATGTAATGTATCTGAGTGGTTTATTGTTCAAAAGCCTAAAAATGTGATAGAGATTTAGGAGATAAAACCTGAATGCCTGTTTCCACTAGGACCTATTTTAATCCTGAAAGCTTTTACTGGAAGGAGGTTTCAGTGCTCTGCGTGAACACCACCACAGGAGGAAATGGGGCCCACCAGTTCTGCTCCCAAGACCCAGCACAGAGGAGCATCTGCATAGACCTTCCAGCCAGGGAGGGAACAAGATGGCACCTTGAGGGTTGGGATGAACATGTGGGTAGAGGTGCTCGGTACGGAGAACTCACCTTTCCATCCTGCCAGCCATGACCTGGGGTATGAACCTGATGGATTGCCAGGTTTCCTATACCTAACAGCCTGCTCCTGCCCAGGAAGACACCCCCTCCCCTCATTTCCTGCCTTACCCAGAGCCTGGGGCCTGCTTCCCATTCTGTGTCTCCCTCTCTCTCTGCCCCTCCCCTGCTCACGCTCTGTCTCTCTCTCAAAAATAAATAAACTTAAGGGGCCCCTGGGTGGCGCAGTCGGTTAAGCGTCCGACTTCAGCCAGGTCACGGTCTCGCGGTCCGTGAGTTCGAGCCCCGCGTCGGGCTCTGGGCTGATGGCTCGGAGCCTGGAGCCTGTTTCCGGTTCTGTGTCTCCCTCTCTCTCTGCCCCTCCCCCGTTCATGCTCTGTCTCTCTCTGTCCCAAAAATAAATAAACGTTGAAAAAAAAATTAAAAAAAAATAAATAAACTTAAAAAAACAACAACAACGATGGGGTTCATGCTGGTAACTACTTCCTGTTGACATTACCAGGGATATATAAGATAATATTTGCAACGCCTGTGGGCGTGTGGCCCGTGTGTCTGATATATAACCTCAGAGATGAGAATTACAAGATGGGGACATGGCACAGAACACCTCTCAGTACAGGCCTGGGTTCCAGCTCTACCGTTTAATACATCTTCAACCTTGGGCAAGTGGCTTACCTTATCTGTGTCTCAGTTTCTCCATCTGTCACTGGCATAATAACACGTGTACCGACTTTGTAAGGTCATAGAGACCATTAAAGGAGTTAATGTTTGAAAAATGCTTGGAACACCTACCATATCTCAAGTGCTATATCTGTATATTATACATAACATTTATAAATTCTTCTGGCACTGACTGTAAGCTCGAGAGGGCAGGAACAAGTGCCTTGATGTATGTAGAAAGTACTCAATAACAAACGACGGGTAAATGAATGAGCAACATTTATGAATGCATTACCTATGTCACACACAGCATCCTACTGATATTCCCAAGCAAAATCACACCCTAAGATACCTGTTCTGTCCTGTGTCCTCTTCTCTGATTCTACCCAGGAATTACTGGGGCTTCTTGGACCCTGCTAACTGTGCACACTATAAGTTTTCTTCTCTGTGTCAACAAACGCGATCAGCATCAGCCTAATGAGCCCAAGTCAATCCAATCTCGTCTGTTCCCTGACTCACAAACCCAGTAGTGATTTGATATTAATGATATTCTCATTCTAGCCTCTTATTTTCAAGTATTGGCTAGAGTAATTATTATTTACATTTACTGTGTGTTTTTAAAAATGACCCTCCCTGAAAAATATTTCCAAACCTATTGAATTTACAAGAGAAGCCAAGGATGGACAAGTCACAAAAAGTCTTGACGCTAAGTCTCTGGTTTGGCTCTTCCTAATTGGTAAATTATGTAAACTTCCAACGTCTCTCTTGAGATCAAGTCCAGTTCGGACTGTGTGGGAGGGAAACCTCATGGCATTTGAGAAATAGTGGTGGTATTCTGGGGCCGATGTCTGCTTCGGAGTGTGTGTGTGTGTGTTCTGCACCTTGCTGTGGGGTCAAGGTAGACCCCTCTCCTTGGGAAAATTTTTCCCAGACATTTTGCTCTGGGCTTTATTTTTACACATGACTTAATAAGTGCTGTCAGTAGGACCACTAAGCACTCTTTACTATGGACTTGAAATTTTTATTTAGCAGCTACCTTTAAAAAGCTAAAAATAAACACATGAAACTAATCTTAATAGCATATTTTAAAACATTATCGCCAAGATATTTTCATCTGTGCATGCAATCAGTGTGCAAATTAATAGAGATAGTTGACGTATTTTTGTGTGCTATCAGAAATCCAGTTTGCACTTTCCACTCACAACACAACCTCGGTTTGTAAATTGAGTTTTATCGGATGTACCTGCTCTATATTTACATTGTAAATGACTCACAGCTGTGAAATAGGAGTCCCGTATGTAAGTTGCTGCAAACATACTTAAAAGTCTTCCACTTAAAGATCATGTCATATGAACATTGAAAAGTTCCTACTGGGCCTAGTAACAAAGGAGTCATTGTGACCTTACCAAGGCAAAACCCACAGAATGGTGAGGGCACACACAAGGGTGGGGGTAGTCTGAGAAGGTTCTTGAAGATGAGGCTCCAGAGGCACATGATGTAGAGGGCCTTTTCTCAGCAGCTCACAACAAAGGGGAAGGAATAGAAAGAGGCTTATGGAAATATCAGGCAAGTTAGGGGATCTTGAATAGGTATGAAGCAGAAAGAAAAGTAGGGAATGTTTGAAACAAGCCTTGTGAAAAAACAGGGAATAAAAATGCCAACACATGAAAATAAAGTAAAATTTCCAGACATTATGGATGCTTCGCACGGGAGGCAGGTGATTTTGGATTTATAGTGGTACCAAAATATGTGTGCTCTTCTCAGTAGTTATCATAAGACCAGCAGTATCTAGCATAGCAGATGAACAGGGTCTTTCAGATTTGAAGTTTTATAAGGCAGATACAACAAGTGTTAAAGAATTCTGGATTATTCCAAGGGAATTATTGAGATCATAGACCATGGAATCCAGGAGTGATAGGGATAGGGGAGAAAGTAAGGTGAAGATACGGTGATCTGGCATCACTTCCGATCTTGAGGGACAGGTAACTATTGTATGAGTGTTTGAGTGAAAACTGAAAATGAGGAATTTATGGTGGGTGAATATGTTTTCTGAATTATTTATTTTTGGTCATGACCATTTCAGTTGACGTAAATGTCTGGGATATAGGAGCGAGTTGCTAAGAATGGGGCAGATGATAATTTCATTATTGGTTTAAGCTCTGAAGGAGCTATGAAAACAAAGAGGTCCATGGGCGACCAAATGAATAGTCACATAACACAGAAGGATGGTGGGGCTGGAGACTTAGAGAAAGACTAAGCAACCGTGTGTCCAGAGAGGGAGGACCAGGAATTGTGTGGTTGAGAGTGACAAGCACAAGCGAGAATAAATCGTAACAGGGAGAATCTTACAAAACCGTGGAGGAGAAACGATCTGGAGTAGATACTGAGTTTTAACCTTGAACTTTCTGGTTCTGACACAAATCTATTTGATGATGTCCCAGGACACAAGTCAGACCTATCCCCAAAGGTAGAGAAGGAAGGTGGATGTACAAGATACCAAATAGAATGCTCCTAAGAAGGCAGTCCTCATTTATCATTTTAATCCAATATCATGACTTATTTTTATAGGGTAAAAGGAAAAGAAGTATGATGGTCAAGACTTCACAGAGGAAGCAACATGATTGTGGAAACCAATCCCAACCGAAGTCTCGCTTAAGTGTCTCAATCCCTTTGAGGATGTCCAGTTATGTATTTAAGACGCCAGTTACCAGAATCACAGCCCATCCTGGCAACGAGGTCAGATGCCATCACTGGGAGGGAACCTTGGACAAGCCCCAACAGGTGTGCTGGCAAAAGAGACTGCAAGGTCTCCAGGCCTGCAGCAGCACAGGGGAACCATTAAGCACTTTGGACCTTGCCAAAGCCTTGCAAAAACTCGCACCTCAGTGCACAGGTGGCTATCTGCCAGGTGTTCTTGCAGGTGGCCCGAACTCGAGCCCCATGCCCATCCTTGCCAGCTCTTCGGATTTGGCCAAGATGATTCCAGAAGCTGGTCTGGGTATCCCGCAGCTCACGTGCAAACAATTTCTGGTGACTGAGGAGGATATCAAGAAACAAGAAAAGAAAGTGAAGACGGCAAGGGAAAGGCTGGCTACAGCACTGGCTATAGACAGACTCGCTAGCGAGGCAGAAAAAGTGAGGGGCCAAGAAGGACATCTCGAAAAACACCACGAATAAAAGGAGAGCCCTGTGCAGATGGAATGCAGCACAGCACTTTATTAATGTCTCTTTGCAGTGTCCATTGTGTCTTCGTGCTCTGAGCCCCTGAAACTTAAGTATGTACCAATACTTTCCTTGTATTAAATTGTATTGTGTGACACAATGGAGACAGTGATTTTTTTTAAGCTGTGAGATTGGGTTTCTGGTGAGGGGAGAAAGGAGATCTTTCCTTTCTGTATTGTACTCTTGTCTTCCTTTACTTTCTTTACTGTGTCATTTGTTTGTATTTTCAAGTCAACCGAGTTATCAAAGTCACGGGATTATTTAGTGTTCTGGACTCACAGAGTAAAACCTGCCTAGTTAATTTTGTGTAATATTCCAACAGATTCCAACATAATATTTCATTAAAGCTGTTATATCTATGCTCTCAAAGAAGATATGTTTGTAGGTCTCTATTTTTCTGTTCTTTGTTGCATGTGAACTCAGAGGTCAACAGAAAGAAGAAATAAGAGACTTCCCATTGTTTAAATACCTGTACATGTTGAAAATTTGATCCATGAAAATTGTGCCATTTTGGGGATCATGATGTCAAGAGGGACTGTTCTCAGCATCTTTATCAGTGAGCCACTGCTTGTGGGGATTTAATTGTCTGTTTGCCCAACTAACCTGTGGCAATATTCAAATCCCTTCCATCATTACTTCTTTTGTCTCATGGATTCATCAATTTCTGAGAATGAATTGATAGAAAATAACAGAATATTTGTAGTATTTCTATCTTCCCTAAAAAGGAGTTATTTTAAGATTGAATCTTGAGGGACCTGGGGGGGTCTCAGTCAGTTGAGCATCTGACTTCGGCCCAGGTCATGATCTTGCTGCTTGTGAGTTCGAGACCTGTGTCGGGCTCTGTGCCGACAGCTTAGAGCCTGGAGCCTACTTCAGATTCCATGTCTCCCTCACTGTCTGCCCCTCCCCCACTCATGCTCTGTCTGTCTGTCTGTCTCTCTCTCTCTCAAAAATAAACATTAAAAAATTAAAAACTAACTGACTTAGATACACTGATTTTCTCTCCTTTCCTCATGACTCTTGTTACATTTTTCTGGGGTCACATTTCTGCTTCCTGATGAACATTCTCTACTGGTTCTATCACTGAAGGCCTGTGGCAGGTCAACGTTGAGTCTTTCTGTATTTCAGAAAGTGCTTTTATCTTTTTCTTTGAAAGATAGTGTGGTGACGTGTTTAATTTAGGTTCTTAGTAATTTTTTCCTTCCTCGCTGCTTAGTCTTTCCAAGCGTCCATATCATTAGCTATAAAATGGGTGTGCAGCTGTCAAGGATGGTGAGTTTAAGTGAGATCGTGCATGCAGAGCTTGCCAGTCATGTTGCTTAGTACATATTAAGTAGTCAGTAACGATACTCTTGTTATTATTATTATAATCTCCAGAGAAGACATTCTCAGAGACTGCTTGGGACTGAGGATGTGAACCTCACACCAAGTAAGTACGAATGGTGGTATCACTGTTACTTCTCAGCCCTTGTGTCTTCAGCCGTGATCGTCTGCAAACTGTGTAGAGATTGGGCCATCTGTTCCCATGAACCCAAGGCAGGACAGTATAGCTCCCTGACCCTGGGTCACTCTAGGCTGCTTCCTGGGGAGCCCCTGCTCTATCTGGTTGGATGAAGAAAGACTGTCTGGCTTTGTCTTTAGATTTTTTTCCCCAATGAGCTTTATTTGTCTTTAGATCCAAAGCAGACCCTGTATCTCTCTCCAGTCTTGGTATTACTCTGGGGACTGAGGCTTTCTGGATACCTAGTGATCCCAGCTCTAAGTCCCAAAGTTGATCATGGAGTCATTTATGACTCGCTCGTTTCCTTCTTGGACCATTTCCCATCGTGGGGGACCCATGATGGGAGAGAAGCCCCTGAGGTAGACTGGTATGGAAGTCCTGGTGCACCCGAGCTTCAGGGAAGGAGGCCGTGTAAGGGGAACTTTGGGGGTGGGGCAAGATGGAGGAACAGAGATGGCAGTGATGGCTGGCACAGAGGCAAGGGGAGGTGTGCTCCCAGGTTTCTAGGAAGAGAAACCTCACACTGAGGTGGGATGTTGATTTTATACAATGACAATGTCTCTGAATCTTTTTTTTTTTTTTTTTTTTTTTTTTTTTTTTGCCAGTTCTAGTGCCCTTGAGGGACGAAATGGCATAAAACCAAAAGACAGGGTTGCAGTTGCCCTTTGAGGACTTAGTGAAAGGGGAAACCTTTCATCTTGGTCCCCTGGGAACTAGTTAGGGGCCAAGTCAAGAAGGGCTCAGAGGCTGTGTCCGACCAATGTGGTTTATTTCTATTCCAGCCAAGCTCCCTTGGAGCCGCAGGCAGAGCTCACTGCAACTTCAGGTCTAGGTATGGCAGGTAATAGCCCAGGCTGTGTTGCTGAACCTCGTAGTCTCCCTCCTTCTTCCGCAGGCGGATGGTGACCTGCAAGGGCAAGGAGAGGGCATGAGAACGGTCTGATCCGCTACATGGGACTCCGGGGATGGAGATGGCCAAAGCCACAGAGGCTTGCCTCCTATATCTCTCTCGACATAATTTTCTCTTACTCCTTCTTTTCCTTTCCCTTGTCCCTCTTTTTTTTAAAAAAAATTTTAAGTTCATTTATTTATTTTTGAGAGAGAGAGACAGAGAGAATGAGTGGGAGGAGCAGAGAGAGAGGGAGAGAGAGAATCCCAAGTAGGCTCTCACTGTCAGTACAGAGCCCGATGTGGGGCTGGAACCCATGAAGCACGAGACCAAGACTTGAGCCGAAATCAAGAGTTGGACACTTAACCAACTGAGCCACTCAGGTGCCACTGCTTTGTCTCTCTTTTTTTTTTTTAATTTTTAACATTTATTTATTTTTGAGACAGAGAGAAACAGAGCATGAACGGGGGAGGGTCAGAGAGAGAGGGAGACACAGAATCCGAAACAGGCTCCAGGCTCTGAGCGGTCAGCACAGAGCCCGACACAGGGCTCAAACTCACGGACCGCAAGATCATGACCTGAGCTGAAGTCGGAAGCTTAACCGACTGAGCCACCCAGGCGCCCCGCTTCATCTCTCTTTCTCATCTTCTCTCTTCCCTTTAACTTTGTTTTTCTACCATTTTCTCTGATATCCCATTCATACCCTCTCCCTCCCTCTCTCCATCTCACTCATTCACCCCCTCTCCCGTCCTCTCCTTCCACACACACCCCCTCTAGCTTAATTGAGGTATAACTGATGTACAATGAACCACATACATGTAGAGCAAATGGTTTGATAAGTTTTGATTGTAACTTGAACCATCACCACAATCAAGACAAGGAGTGCTCCTCATCCCCAAAACTGTCCTTGAGCCCCTCTGTAATCACTCCTTCCTCGCCATTTGCAAGCACATTCTCATTCCCAGGCAACCCCTGATCTGATTGATATCCCTATAGGTTAGCTTACATTCAACAATTTGCTTATAAACAGGATCATAAACTATGTATTCATTGTTATCTGGCTTCTTTCCCTCCACATTATTATTTTGAGATTTATGCATGTCAGTGCATGTATTTATAATTCATTCCTTTTTATTGCTGAGTAATATTCCATCAGGTGATAGATCATGGTTTGTTTGTCTATTCACCTGTTGATGGACTTCTGGGTTGTTTTCAGTTTTTGGCTAGTAAAATAAAAGTTACTATGAACATTTGTGCACATGACTTGGTATAGATTTTATTTTATTTTTATTTTATTTTATTTTATTTTATTTTATTTTATTTATTTGATTATTTTCTGCACAGTAAAGGAAATAATCAACAAAACTAAAAGGCAACCAATGGAATAGAAGAAGATATTTGCAAATGACATATTGGATAAAGGGTTAGTAACCAAAATGTATAAAGAACTTACCAACACAACACCCCAAAAAACAAATAACCCAGTGAAGAAATGGGCAAAAGACACGAACAGACACTTTTTGAAAGAAGAAATCCAGATGGCTAACAGACACATGAAAAGATGTTGAACGTTACTCATCATCAGGGAAATACAAATCAAAACCACACTGAGATACCATCTCACACCTGTCAGAGTGGCTAAAATTAACAATTCAGAAAACAACAGATGTTGGCAAGGATGTGGAGAAAGGGGAACACTTTTGCATGACTGGTGGGAATGCAAACTGGTGCAGCCACTCTGGAAAACAGTATGGAGGTTACTAAAAAAAAAAAAAAAAAAAAATAGAACTACCCTATAACCCAGCAATTGTACTACTAGGTATTTATCCAAAGGATATTTTATTATTTCTCTTGCATGAATTCCTAGGAGTGGAAAGGCTGGGTAGGTGTATGTGACCTTTAAAGATGCATCCAAGCTATTTCTCACTATTTGAGAGTTCCGGTTGTTCCTCATCTTCACCAACACTTATTATAGTCAGTCTTTTTAATTTTAGCCACCCTTGTGTGTCACAATACCTCATTATGACTTTCATTTACATTTCCCTAATGACTAATGTTGTTTTAAAGAAGGAAAAAGTTGGGGCGCCTGGGTGGCTCATTTGGTTAAGTGTCCAACTTTGGTTCAGGTCAGGTCCTGTGGTTCATGACTTTGAGCCCCACATCGGGCCCTGTGCTGGCAGCTCAGACTCTGGAGCCTGCTTCAGATTCTGTGTCTCCCTCTCTCTGCTCCTCCTCCACTCGTGCTCTGTCTCTCTAACTCTCTCAAGAATAAATAATAAAAAACATTAAAAAAAAAAAAAAAGGAAAAAGCAAGCCACAAACACACTGAGAGAAAAAAAATCACAAAACATATTCCCAGCAAATGACATGTATTTATAAAATATAAAGAATTCTTACAACCCAATGATAAAAAGACAAGCAACCCTTCCTTACTTACCAGGAAACAGCAGATCAGGCATGTGATGAGTACCAGGAGTCCTGCCAAGCAAATGAGGATGATGGCCCAGAAGGGGAGGTCTGGGGAGACAAGGGCTGGTGTTAGCTTCCTCCTGTCATTTCCCAGGGCTCCTGCTGTTCCTGCATTGTGCCTAACAGTCCCTGACACGCCTTGGCCACCTTTAATCATCATCTATGACTCTGGGTACATGGGTCTCTTTGATCAGGTACAGCATCAAGGCATTCCCTCCCCAATCTGGGTTGGAGCTTCTTTGAGGCTTACCTGAATTCTCAGTCAAGACATCATTTCTGTTGGGAGAATACCCTGGAAGTGAATGAAATGGAGAATGCACGTGAGTTTGTTTTATGCCTTTTAAATAAAACTGTTCAAATGCACAGAAACATAGAATATCACAAACATACACCACCTAGGTTTAACAATGTATATTTCACCCAATTAAAACATTATTTCATCCAATGTATAAATTATCAGTGCTCACCACCCTTGCTTCACATTTTCACTGAAATGTTGAAGTAGGAATTATGATGTTGACCCATTTTTCTCTAAAAAGGCTACCGAATCCAAGGCTATTATCACACTACAGGGGTGTAATTAATTAAATCAAATTCATACCACTGGACAAGGAGGACTGAAATTGGGCTGAGCCATCTTATGATAGTTTGGGGGAGAATGGGGCATCCTAGTTGGTAAGCCCAAGGGATCTCTCTAAATTTGTAAATTCCCAAATGCTCTCTTCGTTGCCTACAAACACATTCACCCCCTTCTCCTTTACCAAGTTGCTTTATACCCACTTTCCAGGATTCACCTGCAGTGTAATTTCCTCCAGAAAGGCTTCTCTGATTACCACTCCCAAGTATGAATTATTTCACATTAAATAATTTATAATTTTCAATTGCCTATTCTTGTTATTGCCAACTGCAACATAAACCCCATGAGGGTAGGGACACATAGTACCCACTGGGCATGGGGGCAGGTTTCAGGCCCCCCTAGTATACACCCTCTCCCTAGCCAATTTCTTATAGATGTGCTGTCCAATATGGAGCAGCTACAAGTGGCTTCTTAAAAATAATTTTAATTTTTCTTTTTTTTTCTTTTTTCCAACAAACCACAAGAGACTCTTAATGAGAGAGAACAAACTGAGGGTTGAAGGAGGGAGGTGGCTGGGAGATAAGCTAGATGGGTAATAGCTATTAAGAAGGGCACTTGTAATGAGGACTGGATATTGTATGTAAGTGATGAATCACTGAATTATACTTCTGAAACCAATACTGCACTGTATGTTAACTAAAATAAAAAAATAATTTTAATTAAATAAAATTAAAAATATGGTACCTTGGTAACATTAAAACTTAGGAACTGTAAAAGCCAGTCATATTAGCCAGACTTCAAGTACTCAATGGTCACATATGTCTACTGTACTAGACAGCACACATATTTGCATAAAGTTCTGCATGGTGCTGATCTAGAGCAAAACTTGGCAAATGACACCCCGTGGGCCATGTCAGGTCCATTGCCTGTTTTTATACAGCCTGTCAGGAAGAAAAGTGGTCCATCCCCTATGTCCATCAAGGATGGCTCACACACAGCTTGGAGCCAGAGGCCCTTACTGACTGTCTCGCCAAGTGACTTCAGTACAGAGATGAGAGACAGAATTCCAGAGAAGGGAAGTGACCAGCCTGAAGTCACAGAGCTATCTCCGAGAGAGCAAGTATCTCCAATATCCCACCGGGTGTCCTTTCCTCTCCTTTGATGGTGGATAAAGCCTGGGAGACTATGCCATTTCCTGCCAGCCTAAAAAAAGTTCAATGCTGATTTAACCCCAGGTCTCCAGATTCCCAGGAAGAGCCCCATGTGTGGAAGTTGGAACCCTCCACTCCTGCCCCAATGACCAGGATGCCTTACCATCCACAAGGACACTGTTTCTGTCCAGGGTAAAATTCTGCAGCTGGGTACCATTTTGGGTCAGCCTCAAGAACTCCTCATAGATGGCAATTCTGTCCAGTCTCCGAGCCAATGGTGAAAAGTTACAGATGGAGTCCACCCCAGTGTGGTTGCTGTTGGGGACAGACCTGGAAGGGCAAAAGGGATGAACAAGGTATCTTGAATTCTACCCTGCTTCTAGAAGGAAGTCATGTCCAAAAGGACTTTCTGCAATGATACAAACATTTGTGCCTAAATATCAAAATACAGTCATTATTAGACTCAGGTTGTTGTTGAACACTTAAAGTATGGTACTATGGGTGAGTAACTGAATATCTCATTTAATTTAATTTAATGAATTAATAAATAGTCATGGGGAGAACACATTTGAAACATTTGGACTAAGGACTTCCAAAAATGCATAAAATCATTGAGAACACTGGCGAGAATGGCCAAAATCAACCTTTTCATTAACCAAAGGTTTGCAATAATCTGAGGATCATTTAGTTGAGGGAAGAGATGGCTGAATCTTGGTAAAAGGAGCAAGCTGTATGGCATTAGAACTTGCATTATTTCCAGGCTGCTCTCACAATATCCCTAGACACTTTGAAAACCAGCAGTATGAGAACCATGGTAGCTGTGAAAACCAGCAGACAAGTAGCCATAATGTGTTTGGAATTCCCCAAAACAACCCATTCCCACTGACTTTTCAATATCTGACCTGTCTGGAGATTGCTTTTAGAAAGCCCCATTTTCAAGATTTGACTTCATTTGATTCCAAACTTTTTCGGTCAGGGAAGCCTATTCCCAGGGCACTTGCCCAAAACAATCAGTGATTATTGTTTAACATGGCAGCTGCCTGAGGAAGCAGTAACAGCTGAGGCAGGCAAGAGGTGAGCCAAAAAGTTTTTAAAAAGTAGGGAATGAGATGTCCCTGAGGGGTTTTGAAAAGCTCCAATGTGTTTGTGGGGATCTAGAAAGTCACAAGTGTGTGGGGTTGTGTGAATACCTAGGAAATATTTGAGTAGGCCTTAATCTCTCACCTCTAGCTAAAAGGCTAGCTTAATATCTTAAAAAAATTGTCAGTGGAATAGAGCATATTAATAAAGGACAAATGCCACCCAATCTCAACACATCCAAAAGGAGAATATGAGAAAATACAACATCCTTTATGATTAAAAAAAAAAAAACCAACAAACTAGGAATAGAAAGTAAAGTTGCTCAACCTGAAAAATAGCATCTGTGAAAAACTCACAGATAAAATCATACTCAATGGTGAAAGACTGAAAGTTTTCCCCTAAGACTGGGGACAAGACAGTGTTGTCTTCCTTCATTTCATGTCCTATTTACATTTTAATAGATGTAATTCTAATAAAATAATCAGGCAAGAAAAAGAAATGATAAAAATTCAGATGGGAAGGAAAGATGTAGAATTATCTCTATTTGCAGATGACATGTTATTAAATATAGAAAATCCTAATACACACACACAGACACAGACACACATAGCTGAAAACTATTAGTTCAGCATGAATGTAGGATATAAGACCAATGTACAAAAATCATTGTATTTATATACACTAGCAATTAACATTCTTTAATAAAAAAATTTTTTTTAATGTTTATTTATTTTTGAGAGAGAGAGAGAGAGACAGAGTGAGTGGGGGGAGGGCACAGAGAGAGGGAGACATAGAATCCAAAGCAGGCCCCAGGCTCCAAGCCATCAGCACAACCCATGAGCTGTGAGATCATGACCCAAGCCGAAGTCAGATGCTCAACCAACTGAGCCACTCAGGTGTCCCTAGCAATTAACATTCTTAAAAATAAAATAAAACAATTCCATTTATAACAGCATCAAAGAACAAAATACAAAACATGTAGGAATAAATTTAACAAAAACATTGTGAGATTTGTACATTGAAAACTATAAAACATGTTGAAAGAAATTTTAAAATACCTAAATACATGGAAACGCATCCCATGTTCATAGACTAGGGATTTATTATTGTTGAAATGTCAATACTCCCCAAACTGATCTACAGATAAAATGCAATCCCTATCAGAATCCCAGCTGACTCTTTTACAGAAATTAATAAGCTGATTCTAAAACCCATATGGGGTTGCAAGGGACCTCAAATAGGTAAATCAATATGGAGCAAGTACAAAGTTGGAGAACTCGATTTCCCAATTTCAAAACTTATACCAAGCTACAGTAATAAAAACAGTTGCCACTAGTATAAGGATAGACATATAGATCAGTGGGATAGAATTTAGAATCCATAAAAAACTCATGCAATCATGGACATTGATTTTCAACAAGGTTGCCAAGATAAAAGGGAAAGAATAGTCTATTTAACAAATGGTACTGATGGGGCACCTGGGTGGCTCAGTCGGTTGAGTGCCTAACTTCGGCTCAGGTCATGATCTCATGGTTCGTGAGTTCGAGCCCCAGCTTGGGCTCTGTGCTAACAGCTCAGAGCCTGGAGCCTGCTTTGGATTCTGTGTCTCCCTCTCTCTGCCCCTCCCCCACTCTCACTCTGTTTCTCTCTGTTCTCAAAAATGAATAAATGTTAAAAAAAATTTTTAACAAATGGTACTAAGACAACTAGATATCCACATACAAAAGAATGAAATTGGACCCGTACCTCACAACATATAGAAAAATTAATTCAAAATAAATCAAATGCCTAAATGTAAGAGATAATGATACAATCCTTAGAAGAAAACCTAGGTGTAAATAAATCTTTGTGAATTTGGATTAGGCAACGGTTTTTTAGATATGGGACTAAAATCACAAACAACCAAAGAAAACATTGATAAATTGAGAGTCATCAAAATTAAGAATGATTGTGTTTCAAAGGGTAGTACTTAGAAGGTGAAAAGGCAACCTACTAAAATGGAAGAACATATTTGCAAATCATATGTCTGATAAGGGTGTAGTATCCAGAACACACAAAGAACAATTATAACTCAACAATTAGAAAGAAAATCAATGCAAAACTGGGTAAAGGACCTGAATAGACATTTCTGCAAAGAAGGTACAGAAATGATCCATAGTACATGAAAAATTGCTCCACATCACTAATCACTAGGAAAATGCAAATCAAAGCCACAGTGAGGTACCACTTCACATCCACTAGGATGATTAGAGTAAAAAAAGGATAATAACAATTGTTGGTGAAGACCTGGATAATTTGGAACCCTGATACATTGCTTGTGGGGATGGCAAATGGTAGAGCCTCTTAGGCAAACAGTTCAGTAGTTCCTCAAAAGTTAACATGAAATTAACACATGACCCTACAAGACCAGTCCTATGTATATGCCCAAAAGAACTTCAAACTCAAACTGATGCAAAGACTTACACAAGTTTTTCATTATTCGTAATAGGGTCCAGGGTCATTATTCATAATAGGCAAAGGGGGAGACAACCCAACGTCCATCAGTGAATGGATGGATAAACGAAAAGTGGCATAGCCATACAACAGAACATTGTTCAGTCACAGAGGAAGGAATAGAGTACCTATCCATGCTACAACATGGATCAACCCTGAAAACAGGATGCTCAGTGAAAGAAGTCAGTCACAAAAGACCACATAGTGTATTGATCCATTTAAATGGAATGTTCAGAATAGGCAAATCCAGAGAGACAGAAAGTAGATTATTGTTTGCTAGGGGATGGGGCTGAGGGAAGAATAGGTAGCAGCTGCTAATGGGGACAGGACTTTTTTTTTTTTAACATCCTACCATTAGAGAGTGGGATGGTTGTACCACTCTATAAATATACCACTAAATTGTATACTTCAAAAGGGTGCATTTTATTTTTTCAAAAAAAAATTTTTTTCAACGTTTATTTATTTTTGGGACAGAGAGAGACAGAGCATGAACGGGGGAGGGGCAGAGAGAGAGGGAGACACAGAATCGGAAACAGGCTCCAGGCTCCGAGCCATCAGCCCAGGGCCTTACGCGGGGCTCGAACTCACGGACCGCGAGATCGTGACCTGGCTGAAGTCGGACGTTTAACCGACTGCGCCACCCAGGCGCCCCAAAAGGGTGCATTTTATAGGTGAATCATATCTCAAGAGATGTATAAACAATTTCGATTGCCTCATGTGATTAGTGGCTATACTACTGAGTAACACAGTTAGACTTCTGGATTCTAAGTCATCTGGTTCTATCCACCCCCATCTTCTATGGATCCTGACTCCAATGGCTGATTTCTTAAAAAAAAAAAAAGTCTTTTTAATGTTTTAATTATTTTTGAAGGAGAGAGAGACAGAGCCTGAGCAGGGGAAGAGCAGAGAGAGAGGGAGACACAGAATTCGAAGCAGGCTCCAGGCTCTGAACTGTCAGCACAGAGCCTGATATGGGGCTTGAGCTCACGAACTGTGAGATCATGACCTGAGCTGAAGTCGGATGCTTAACTGAGCCACCCAGGTGCCCCTCCAACAGCTGATTTCTTAAGGCATTCATTGATGCTACACTCCATATTCCATGGCTCCCAGCACCAGGCACCTCCATGTCTACTGAGGTCTACACTGGCTCTCTTGAGTTTCTAAGCCAGTTGGCGTCATTGGTTTAGGAACAAGCTGGTTTTTAGGTAACAGTTTTATACTCGTAGGGCTATCTTCCATAAGAACTAGAAACTGAGACCATGACATGGGGATACTTTTACTTAAAGGACCACGGGAGTCTCCAGAGTGATTAGGTACTGAGTTGGAACTCACCTGAATGCTAAAACTTGACAGTCAGAGAAATAACTCTTCATGCTGCTGTTTCGGAAGAGCTGATTGAGCTGAAAAACAGGGTGATGTTCCCTTGATCAGAATTCCAGGCCCAGTGGCATCAGAGAATTTTTAGCCACTGAGCATACGTCCCCATCTACTTTTTAGTATCTCAACAAATACTAGCCCAGGTATGTGCACCAAAGGACATCCCATTCCAGGGTGTGACTTAGCTATATGATCCTAGAGTAGCTACTGAACCTCTCTGTGCCTGTTTCTTTATTTGTAAATGGGCAAAAGAACCTGTATGGATGAATTGTCACAAAAAATCACCCTCTGACTACCCCGCGTCCATCGGTCTGTCTCTACATGGGACACAAACCCATTCTCACCGCATTCTCGATACTTCTCTTGTTCCGCTGGTGTTTGGTGGTGTTGGGCTGGGATAAGTCTTGGGAATAGAGTAGGTTGGTGACAGTGAAATTCAGCTGGAAGTGCTGAGAGGTGGGACTGCTTGTTGGTCTGTCTGTTGGTAGATGAGCTGTTGATTCCACTTCTATAATAAAAAGAAGGTATAGAAGTCCCCAACAGGTGAAGATTTAAGCAAAGAAGTCATTCCAGCTAGTCTAATTATTCTTGGCAATGTGACCTGAGTTGGATTCTGAAAGGTGGGATACATAAGATCTCCATCTACCTGGCCACTTTGAATCCATTGATCTGTCTATCCATCCAACTCTTCCTTAAGCATTATGAGAGCTCACTAGCATGTGGGGAAGATGAGACTGGGTTTCCCTGGCGCACAGATGGCAAGTGTAGGTGCCGATCACCTCAGGGGACATCTGTCATACCCCTTTGTTGACCTAGGTTCCTGATGTGTCTTGCTGCCTCTGGTCTTCTCCCCCTCCCAATCCACTCTCTACACAGAACTCAGAAGATGAGCTTTCTAAAGCAGAACTCTGTGTTGTGTTCTTCTGCAAACCATCCCAATACCCAAGAAAGTCCCTGCCTGCATCTATAGCCTTACCTATCACTTCTCTCAGGCCAAAGTGTTTGCTCTAGTGACACCAAACTCCTTACAGTCTCCCCAAATATTTTATCTTCTAGGTTATAAACACAGCTAGCTCAACTCCCCACCTCTTCCCATTGGCTAGGCTATGTTCGCCATCATATCTCAGTTTTTTAATAACTTCCTCCAGAAAACTTTCCAAGATGGGCCATGTGTCTCTCCTTGTGAGTTCCCAAAGGCTCTTTAAATTACCTGATTACAGCAGTTATCACAGTGAATCATCGGCACCTATTTACTTTCATGACATATTTGTTGAATGAATGCATGAATGAGTCCTTCAATCAACCAGTACATGACTCATAACTGGAGGGCCTAAGAAGGACACGCAGGATACTCCACACTTTGGGTTAGAAATATCTACATGTAAAAATGACTGTCCCCTTGGTGCAGTTGCTGCATGTTTTCTTTCCTCCTCCTGTTGGGATGACCTGTTGCCATGGCCCATCAACATGGGCCTCCAGAAAGACCCCCTTTCCCCTCCAGAGCCTCCATCCATTCCACTGTTACAGAGAAGCCCCATTCCTCCTCAAAGCCCCATTTCTTCAAGCCATGAAACCAACCCCACAATCTCACACCTGTCACATGCAAATCTGCCAGCTGATAGGTGGCACCAAGCCAGTGGGATGAGACATTCAGGGTCTTGTCTAGAAAGACTTGCTTCACCATACTGGGGTCCACATTGGAAGAGAACAGAGCCTTGATGGTGACCAACATGGAGTCCAACCTAGGGACAGAGACCATGGAACTTAGCCAGCACCCAACACCAGCAGTGTCTCCTGAGTTCCCGTTTTATAGAGTCAAAGACCTACAGGCAAGAAGTAAGAAATTACCTGGCTTCCTCTTCCCTCAGGCTAGAGAAGAGACCCTGACCAAAAATACAAGGTTTCTAGGAGTTGGGAATAGAACAAATAACTATAAAGTTAACGAACATCTATTGAGCACCTCTAGGAAGTGAATACACATTCCCTCACCATCACCCTGGTGGAAGGTATTATTATAATTATCCCCATCTTAAAGCCAAAGGAACTGAAGTTTGGAAACACTCAATGTTGGCACTGTGTCCCATGATTGTCCTGCTCCCCAGTGTAGATGTCTCAGTTCCTCTACCCATCCCTTGGAGACTTGGGTTAAAATCCAAGTTGGGCAATTCTTGGGCTGTTCACTTTGCTTCTCTGAGCCTCAGCTTCCCCTCTGAACAATGGAGATGGTCATTGATGGTGTGTGGCCATAGGAAATGTTATTATTGGGCTGATATTTATTGAAAGCATCCAGAAAGGAGAAGGTGGTGGTTAATGGAGTTGGTGGCCCCGGGAAGTTAATCCTTTTCCTGCCTCCCACCTCCCCAACCGAAGACCTATGAAAGGAGGTGGTAGGATTAACTGACAGGGACGTGGGAGAGCATGGGCACCATGCCAGTGACTTCCAGCTCAAGGAGTATGCCAGGATGGTAGCTCAGAGCCACAAGCTGCCAGCTCAGCCAATGCTGCCAACCTCCTCAACTTACGTCAAGTTGGTGACCAGGCAGGAGCGGAAAATGTCTTGTAGCTGGCTGCCTCTGTAGAGTTTGGTGACCTAGAATAAAGGGTAAGATGGAGATCGCCTGGGGCTGGCAGGAGCTCCTGGAGTCATGGAAGGAACACAGGCTTTGGGACAAAGGAGACGTGAGTTCAAATCCTGGCTCTGCCCCTTAACTCACTGTGTGAGCTTGGGCACACCACTCCCCTTTCTGAGCCTTAGTGTGCCCATCTGGGAAGTGGGGAAGGCAATCAGCACCACCTTTGGAAACTGAGAGAACCCAGAACACATTAGGTAAAGTGAGGAGTTGAAACACTTAATAGATGTGAGTCAGACAGAGGAATGGTGGGGGCGGGGAAGCAGGGCAAGGAGAGACAGGAAAGATGAGAGAGATGTCACCTTGTCCTGGATGTCTCTCAGCAGGGTTGTGTACTCCAAGGATGCAGGGTCTGAGTTGCTGAGGTTCCAGTTGAGGATGCGGAAATTCAGCTGATACTCATTCTGAATAGATAAATTCTGGGGTGCGTAGCCTAGAGCCAATGATAGGAAGAGAAGAGAGGTGGAGACTCTTACCCTTTCACACAGAGAGAGGCCTGATGACTGCTGTCAGAATCAGCCAAATTCAGGCCCACATGCCGGGGGGTTCCTAGTGGAAAGTCACCCCAAAGAGGGGGAAAACTGGAATTTTCCAGTGATTCTCCTGAGCTGAGCTTTTCTGCTTGTGCTTAGGCAGTTCCGGCTTCCTGGAATATTTTCAATCCTCTTTTTCTGGAAATCTCCTACTCATGTTTCAGGACCTTGATGAGATGAGACTACAGGAGAGCAGGGACCCATCTGTCTTGTTCTGGCCATGTCCCCATACCTACTACAGTGCTGGGTACATAATATCCTCTTCCAAGAAGCCCTCCTTGACTTGCTCCTCCTGTGTGCTTCCACAGCACCCTGTTAATAACAGTGTCCCTGCCTTGTTTGTGTGTCCCTAGATAACATTCATTCTCTTGATTATTAGTTTTCAGGGAGAGAACCTGCGAGTTCCATCTCTGTATCCAGCACATGGCTTGGGACAGAATAGTATTGTATATGCATCTGTTGAATGCATGAATGTGAACTACAGCGGATCCCTCAATATGGGGGCTGAGATACTCATCTCCCATTTGTTCACTCATTTACTCACTCATTGGGGATGACAATGTACCGACACATAAAGAACTGAGGGTGTATCGCCAGACTACGAGACCTTAATTTTGTAGAGTTGGATAATTAAATAATTGTGATAACGTGTGATAAGTTGGTGCCCATCTAGGGACCAGAGGCCCATGTAGAGCAGGGTTTCTCATTCTCAGAACTACTGATATTTGGAGCTATGTAACTCTTGGCAGTGAGGATCCCTGATCATTGGAGGACATTCGTAACACCCCTAGCCTCGAGCCACTAGGTGCCAGTACCACTCTCCCCCAGTTGTGGTGATCAAAATGTCTCCGGACATTGCCAAGTGTCTCCTGAGGGGCAGAATTGCCCCCAGGTGAGGACCACTGGCATGGAGGAACCTTGTATAGAAGAAATCCTGTCCCAAGAGATCTACGAGTCAGACATTTGGAGTGCAAATTAAAATTATTTATATTAATTTGGTCAAAGAATTTCACTCTTTTTACCTGAAATAACAGGAGAGACTCTCTCCATGGAGAGTTTGGGGAGGGTGTCCTTCAATCAGAGCTTGGGCTGACTTGTTAAGGAAGAAATAAAATAGAACAGAGACAAATAATGATTGCTATAAATCACTCACCATTGACGAAGAGGCTGTCCCTGACCAGGGTATAGATGCCCATCTGGGTGACACCATGGGTCAGCTGGCTTAGCTCCCAGTAAAGCTGTTCTCGGTCCAGCCTGTAGCCCATGGGGTCATGGTGATAGGTGCAGATGGCGTTAACATGAGTGGCTACCCCATCCTTCTCAGGCCTGGGGAGAGAGGGATGTGGGGACTCTTAAAGAGAGGTTCTGAAACCTCAGTATGGGGGCCAAAAGGAGGGAAGGGAAAATGGGAGGTCAGTGGGAAGACTGAAAGGATTGGTCACCAAAATGGTCACTACTGGCAAATGCTCAGGAGGAAGTCCTACCTGAGGGAGATTAATCTGCAACCTGAATAGAAGGGGCCCAGGCTGCTCTTCTGGAACAAGGATCCAAGCTGGGGAGGAAGGAGGAGGCGGATGAGCAGGAGGGGCTGGGTGGGATTTATCCCACTAGGAGCTGCTAGGAGCAGGGTCTCACCAGGTGCTGCAGGGTCCTCTTGGTGGAGTTGAATGTAGCTGAGCTGTGGCTCATGTCTGTTGAATACTGGAGGTTGGAGATGGTCAAGTTCAGTGTGAAGGTCTTCAGGTTGTGTCCCATAGCTACGAGAAGGAGGGGGAGAGATGGTGACTACTGACAGCTGGCCTGAGACCAAATCAAAATCCTGCATTCGTCCTACTCTGTCATCTTCTCTTCCAGTGTCACCACCACCCACCATGTGGTCACCCAAGCCAAAACCAGCACGTTGCTTAGCTCCCTCTCTCTCCCCTCCAAGTAACACCATTTCTACTTACAGAATGGTCCTCACACACCCTCTCTCTATCCTGTCCCAGATCAAGTCTTATCCTCTCTCACCTGGACCAACATCCCAGCAGACTTGCTGGATGCCCCATCTAAAGAATGTTCTCTGCACTGAACTCTAGCAAAAAAATTTTTTAATTTTTTAATTTTTAATTTATTTTTCTAATGTTTATTTTTTAGAGAGACAGACAGAGAGACAGATCATGAGCAGGGGAGGAGCAGAGAAAGAGAGGGAGACATAAAATCTGAAGCGGGCTCCAGGCTCTGAGCTGTCAGCACAGAGCCTGACACGGGGTCTGAACTCATGAACCACAAGATCATGACCTGAGCCAAAGTTGGATGTTTAATGGACTGAGCCATGCAGGGGTCCCAGAAATTTTTTTAAACTGGTTGTTTATTTTGAGAGAGAGAGAGAGACAGAGAGAGAGAGAGAGAGAGAGAAAGCATGGGGGAGGGGCAGAGAGAGAGGTAGAGAGAATCCTAAGCAGACTCTGTGCTATCAGCACAGAGCCTGATTAAGGGCTTGATCTCATGAACCGTGAGATCATATCCTGAGCTCAAATCAAGAGTTGGACACTTAACTGACTAGACCCTAGAAGAATTTTCTTAAGTGAAAATCTCAGTATAGTCACCACTTCCCATGGCTTCCTTTGGCCTTCAGTGTTAAGTTCAAGCTTCTTGACCTGGCACTCAATGTCCCTCCCAATCTGGTTTTTGCCAGTGTTTCAGCTTCACTTCTCCATCTATTCCAGGTTAAGGTTCATGGTTCATGCAAACTAAATCCTTCTCAATTCTCTCCATATACTATGCTGTTTCCGGCCACTGAGCCTTTGCTCATCAGATTCCCTACACCAGGAAAACTCTTCATCCCCTATTTGCCTGGATGACTCCTACTCATTCTTAAATAATCAGTTTTGGGGCGCCTGGGTGGCTCAGTCGGTTGAGCATCTGACTTCGGCTCAGGTCATGATCTTGTGGTTCATGAGTTCAAGCCCCGCGTCGTGCTCTGTCCTGACAGCTCAGAGCCTGGAGCCTGTTTCAGATTCTGTGTCTCCCTCTCTCTCTCTGACCCTCTCCCATTCATATTCTGTCTCTCTCTGTCTCAAAAAATAAATAAACATTAAAAAAAAAAAGAATCAGTTTGGGTGCAAATTTCTCCAGAAATTCCTTACCTTCCAAATTATGTTAGATCCCTCTCCCCAAAACATTTCACACTGTGTTATAATGGTCTGTTGATCTCACAATACTTGGGGCTCCATGAAGGTATGCATTAGATTGAATTGTCAGTAGAATCTTTGGATTGGCATGACTGTCCTAAACCAGAATTTTACACTCTGGCTTCTCAGCCCCTGTGTTACAACTGGCTGGTAGAGGTGGAGGGCTGTAAAGTTTCTCTTGGAAAGAAAAAGGATTCCCTAAATACCTGTGGTGGCTTCTGGTTGCACAGGTGATGATGAACTAGGCAGGAATGTGGTGGCTGCCTCAGGAGCTGTGGAAAGGGCAGTTATCAGGAGGGGACAGAGCTCCCCACAGAGTGGGAGAAACTCCCCACATTTGTCTGGACTCCAGCAGTGGTGGTCCCAAGACAAGAGTTCACAGGTGTGCCATAAATGAGAGCAAGGGAAGGAAGAATTGTGTGAGCAGAGGGGTGAGCAAGCCCATGAATGAAATGAACCCAAGAGAGTAAGGGTAGGTGAACAAGAGAGAGACTAAGCAAAGAAGGCAGATAGATGAATGGGAAGAAAGGTGGACAGATGGGATACCTGGATGGACAGAGGAAGAATGAACAAATGAGGGGTAAAAGGGAAAGCAAGAATAAACACAAGGAAGGAAAGTAAGAGAGATGGATGGAAGGACAGAAGGCAGAAAGGACAAAAAATGAACAGGCAGAGGATGGATGGATGGATGGATGGAAGGAAAGAAGAAAGGAAGGAAGGAAGGAAAGAATGGAGGAAGGGTAGAAGAATACATGAAGGATAGAATGAATGAGGGATGGGAGAAGCAGGGAAAAGGAAGAAAGGATGAATGGATGGATGAATGGATGAAAGGAAGGAAAGAATGAAAGATGTATAGATGGAAGAATGAATGAAGGACAGAACGAATAAAGGATGGATGAAGGGGGGAAGGAGAGATGGAGGATGGATGGATGAGAGAATAGAAGGAAGAAGGAAAGGAAGGATGATGGATTAATGGGTTGATGGACAAAGGGAAAGAAGGAAGGAAAGAAAGATTGAAGGAAGGAAGAAAAGAAGGAGGGAAGGAAGGCGGGAAGGAAAAGTCTAAGAGAAGGATAACTGGGAGAATGGAAGAATGGATGGGTTAAAAGATAGATGAAGGGACCATTGGCTAAGTGAATGGGAAAATTTGGCCAAACCACTAAGTGGCCACCACAATTTGCAACTTGATATTGAGGCCCCTTTTGTGGCCCTTGTAGATTTTGTTTCCAGGAGGCACGAACTACAAGGTCGTTATCTGACCTCAACCCCCATCCCTACAGGAAATGCTTGCTCAAATTTCTTTCTCCAACCCAGATGGGTGTGGAAAGTTTAGAAAGCCAATACTGGGCAAGCTCCCTTTGTTAGTGAGGAGAAAAGCTTGGCTCAAGATGGGTACGGGGTGCAAAGATACATACTTGTGGGAGGCTCATCTGGACCACGCTCGTTATAACCTGGAAACAGAAATGTCACATAAGGGGAGGGGAAAGAACAATCCCAGACTTCCATGCCTTTGTCCATGTGGTGCTCCAGCTGGATGCCTCTTTTTCTATGTACCAGGTGACCATCTATGCATCTTCTAAGACCAGACTCCAATGTCATCTCTACCATTAGGATCTTCCGGTTAGAAACAACCCTTCCCTGTCCACCTCTCCAGCATGCCCCCACGAGACTCTCACCACATTCATATTCACACACTCATTCCCCCATATACCCATTCATCCCACCCTCTGCCCTTCCATCCTCCTTCCAATCTATCCCTCCATCCAACAAATATTTATTGAGAACCTACTATGTACCAAGTTCCATTACGTTTGGGGAACACAGCACTGAACAAAATGTCTCTGCACCTCTGGAGCTTACATTAGGACAGGTTGCACATGCCGCCTGTCTGTGTCCCTGGTGCCAGGCACAGTGCCTAGCTTCTAGCAGATGCTGGCGAATACTGACCAAGTGAGAAAGAAGAAGCACATAACTTGTGCAGTTTACAGGAGGAAACATCCTACCCTGGCCTCTGCAATGGCCAAGGTGAAGGGAAGAGATATGAACTCGGAACACCACGACCCAGACTGGCCACAAACCTACTGTGGGCATGGGCACATGCCTTTCTCTGTACCAGCTCCCTCTTTGCTAAAATGGGCGTCATAAAGGACCAGGATGTCCCTCCGCTCACCTGAGGTGGCAATGGTGACAAGAAAGTGTGAGTTGCCAAACTCCATTCCCAAGTTGGAAACAAAGAGGAGAGAAGCTGAGTTACTCCAATGAACTTCACTACAGCCATGCTCTGCCTCTTAGAACCCCAGAGAAGGCTCACCCTCTTAAACACTGTCCCTTCCTGGATGCTAGGCTGATGTCCAGTGTGTCCAAAGCTCAGGCCCCACAGATGTTCAGAGCGCCCACCTTAGTTCCGGCATTGGGGTCCCACCCAGAAGAGTAGACCATCCATGGTCAAGGGTGAGAAGGTGGTAGGGGAGACAGATGTGGGATTTTCTTTCCCCATGTCTCTCCCAAAAGACTCTTCTAGGAGTTAAAGGCACTGGACGCTGACTGCTGGGGCTCATGCCCGGCTTCACCCCTCTCCAGCTACACCCACTTGGACAAATTACTTAATCTTTCAGAGCCTCCATTTCTACATCTGTAAAATAGGTGTGATCAAGGACAGCCTTGCAGAATGACTGTGGGAGGATGGGGGTCAGTGTGGAGTTGGGGTTCATGCCTGAGTCTGTCCCAAGGTTTCCCCTAGAGAACTGACCTGTGGTTAATGGAAACGTTTCCAGAGATGGGGAAGCTGAAGCGGTGAGGTGGGTGGAGAACAACTCACCATTGAGGTAGAGGCTGTCCTTGTCCAGTGAATAGGGGCCCAGCCGGGTGATGCCACGGGTCTGCCTGCTCAGTTCATGGAACACCTGTTTCGCAAGTAGACCCGGGCTGCTGGGGTGCTGCCGGTAGGTGCAGAGGATGTTCACCCTCGTCTTGGCACCATTCTTCACGGACCTGAGGAAGAAGAGGTTGATGCTTGGGGACTGTAGCCCACATGGCATCTCTCTACCTGAGGTCACCACACACCTCATATCCTGTGTTCCAGCCTTGTTGAACCATTCACACTTTCTCCACCTGGCCACATTCTCTCACCCCAGGATCTTTGCACATGCTGTGACTTCTGTCTGGAGGTTTCTCCCTGTCTCTCCTTACCTGGGTAACTTCCGGTCATCTTTCAGGTCCCAACTTAGATACCTCCTCCTTCTCCAAAAACCCTCCCAGGCTGGGTCAGGAGAGGGTTCTGGCTGCCACAGTACCTCATGCTTCCCCCATCACAGGCCTGGTTGCCCTCAGTGTGAGCATCTATTGTTTGTTCCTGTTCCCTCCAGACAGTGGCCTCCATGAGGTCAGGAAATAGGACGACAGTCTAGCTCATTGTTGTACTGAACCCCTAGTACCTCTCACATTGCCTGTTCCATGTAAAAACCAGCGTCCTGATGAATGGATAAACAAAATATGACATATCCATACAGTGGAATTTATTTAGCTTTAAAAGGGAAGGAAATTCTGACACCTGTTACAACATGGATGGACCTTGAGGACTTTGTGGTCAGTGAAATAAACCACACATGAAAGGACAGATATCATATGATTCCACTTGTATGACGTACGCAGAGTAGTCAAATTCATAGAGACAGAAAGTAGAATGGTAATTGTTAACATCTGGGGGTAGAGGGAAGCTGAGAGCTGCTGTTTAACGGGTATAGAGTTTCAGTTTTACAAGTTCTGGAGATTGGTTGCACAACAATATGAATACACTTAACACTACTGAGTTGGACACTTAAAAATGGTTCAGATGGTAAATTTTATGGTATGTGTACTTTACCACAATTAAAAAAAAAAAAAAACAATTCCTGACAAGACTCTGGAAAGTCTAATCCAAATGTCTGGAAATTCACCTCCTTTCTCTCTGCCCCTTGCTCTCTCTCTGCTCCAGCCACATTGGCCTCCTTGCTGTTCACCGAGCATGCCAAGCTCATTACTACCTGAGGACCTTTGCCCATGCTGTTTGCTCTGCCTGGAACAGTTTTCACGGCCAAATCCTTGTTTCCAGTTGGGACCCAGCTGAGAAATCACCACCACAAAGAGCTGGAGTATCCCAGGTAAAGCTGTTTTCCCATCTCTTATGTATTATGCTCATCACCTTACTGCATTTGAAACCACTTTAGATATCTCTCCTTCTACTTATTTTCTGCTTTATCCACTAGATGAGCACAGGGGCAGTGTCTGCCCATCACTGTGGGACCCACCACTTGCCTCAGAGGAGCCACACCACCAATGGCAGTGGAATGAAAATACAGATGGAGAAGGGCTTCATAAACGCCAAGAGAACACACACTGACCCAGAAAAGTGCGAGTAATTGCCCAGTGGGTACAGAGTGATGAAGAGTTTCAGAACTAGATGGTGGGGAAGGGTGACAACATCATGCATGTAACAGATGCCACTGAAATGTATGCTCGAAAATGGTTAGAATGGCTAATTTTATGTCCATAGATATTTTATGACAATTACAACAACAACGTAATATCAGAAAATGGATGTCGAACCATAAGAGACTCTTAAATACAGAGAATAAACTGAAAGTGGATGGGGGTGGGGGAGAGGGAAAAATGGGTGATGGGCATTGAGGAGGGCACTTGATGGGATGAGCACTGGGTGTTGCATGGAAGCGATGAACCACGGGAATCTACCCCCAAAACCAAGAGCACACCTTACATACTGTATGTTAGCCAATTTGACAATAATTATATTAAAAAAAAAAAAACGATGCCAAAAAGGACCCTTCAAGACAGTCCACCACAACCAGGAGTGGCCCCCACAGTCCTTGTCCTTTGGCGGTGGGCCATGGTGGCTGGGGGATTCTCACCTTAGTGAGGTGACCTTGCAGCCTGTATATCGGGTACCCAGACTGCTCTTCTGGAACAATGGGCCCAGCTGGAGAGGAAGGAGAGAGCCAGTGTGGTCAGAGGTGGCGACAGCCCCTAGAGGGGGTCATGGAGGCACAGAGGCAGAAGTCGTGCTCTCACCAGGTGCTGCATGAGGGTATCTGTGATGTTGAACTTGAGGGAGCCGGGGCGGCCCATGTCTGCTGAGTAGCGCAGGTTGTCGATGGTGAAGTTCAGTGTGAACAGCTCCTCACGGGCCTCCCCAGCTGTGATAAGTGCAGAGAGAGCCAAGGCTTGTGGGAGGTCGGGTGCCCAACATCCACCCACAGTGGGCCTTCCAAGGGCCTCTTGTCCTCCTCCCAGGAAACCCGAGGGCCACGTGTTAATGGAGACAACTCCAGCAGCAAGGAAGGACAGGCTTGATCTGGGGGCTGGAGATGGTGTTTCCACCCAGGTGCAGGAGGGGAGGGTTCTGTGGAAATGCTGGTGGCTTTGTTCTTTCCCAGAAGGAAAGGCTCCAGCTTACCATGCTGATGTGGGACCAAGGATAACCCCAGACATGTTCCTTCACTTTCTTTCTCTTCCCCCATCTCTATCTCTTTATCTCTCGGTGCCTCTGTCTCTCTTTTCCTCTCTCTCTGTCTGTCTCTCTCTGTCTGTCTATAACACCCAGGTATGCCAATCTTCTAGGCATTGTGTAAACAAACAAACAAACAAACAAACAAACAAAAAAACAGCTAGCAGCTGTAACCAATCTCTCTGCACCTCAGTTTACTCATCTGTAAGATAATAGTGATTCCTACTTCAAAAGTTGTTATGAGGTTTGAACAAATCGAATTTTGTAAAGTGCTTAAGCACAGTGCTGGGCATACAGTAAACACCTATTTGAGTGTTTACTATAGAAGACAAATAAGCAAATACTTCCTGATCACTCACTGCAAATGGAGTTTTTACCCAGATGAATATGAGCTGGGCACTAGACTTCTCCACACTAAACAAAGGAGAACCACAGCACAGAAATGATCTCCTGCTCAGGGTTACATGACTGGAGGGAGGGAAAGTCAGGGTTTGGACCCAGGTTCTCTGACCCCAGAGTCCTTGCTCATGAACTCCCCTGCTAATACATATGCTCTTGCCTAAACACATGCAGCTGGCCCAGTGTTCAATAGTGGGGGTGACCTGCATAGACCCCAGGAGAAGTATAATAAATAAATGTATGATGCAAGTAAGAACAGAGGCCTGGTGGTTTGACTCCAGACTAGATAAGCAGGGAGCAGCACAGGGTCAATTGTTTAGGACAAACCTCTGCAAGAAAAGCTGGCCTCCCTTCTTTCCTCCTTCTCTTCTGTTCATCACTCCTTCCAAGCTTCCTTCTGTCTATCCTTCCTTCCATCCTTCCTTTCTTCTTTCCTTCCAACTTTCTATTCATCCATGCATCCATCCTTCCTTCCTTCCTTCCTTCCTTCCTTCCTTCCTTCCTTCTTTCCTTCTATCCATATTTCGTTCTTCCTCCCTCTATCCATTCTTTCCTTTCATCTACCATCTGTCTATGCACCCATCCGTCTCTCCACCCATTCATCCTTCTTCCATCTCTTCATCCACCCACTCATGCATCTATCCATGCACCCATGACATCCATCCATCTATCTCTCCACTCATACATTCTCCATCATCCATTCATCCACCCATCCCTCCCTCCTTTCCTCCCTCCATCCATGCACCCATGACATCCATCCATCCATCTATGCACCCATGACATCCATCCATGAATCCATCTATCCACCTCTCCATCCATCCATCCTCCATATCCCATCTATCAATTCACCCATCCATCCATCTGTCTCTCTATCCATCCATCCTCCATCTCTCCATCCATCAACTCACTCATCCATCTGTGCACCCATGACATCCACTCATCCAGCCAGCCAGCCACCATCCTTGCATACATCATTCCTTCCTTCATCACTCCTAGTCCTTCCTTCTTCCCATTCATACCTTCTATGCATTATGCATCCTTCTGTCTTTCCTTGTATCCCCACTTTCTTCCACCTATCTACCTTTCCTTGCTTCCTTCCTCCACCCTTTTTCTTCCTTCTATCCATCCATATTTGCTTCCTTCCACATCTATTTTTTCCATCTATTTAGACATGGTTCTACCCTCCTTTTCCCCTTCCACTCATCTTTTCTTCCTTCCATCTGCTCATCCATCTTCTCTCCTTCCCTCCTTCTGTTCATCACTTCTTCCTTCCATCCATTCCTCCACCCATCCATCTTGCCTTCCCTCCATGTACATTGAATTAAGACTATAATGCTTCTGAATCTATTGCAAGGACTGGATACTGATAAACAAACCACAGCCAATTGAATGAATTTAACTTATTTTTCCTCCTATCATTTGGGGAAATATGGTTCTCATTGGACCTGAGGAGCCCAGAACCCTGCTGATGTTGGAAGGAGCAAATGAAGATACTGTGGTGTAAAAGACCAGAGATGGACCCATGAAGAGTTTGCGAGGGTTGTAAAAACACACCTCTGATGCAAGGGCATTTAACTCTTGAAAGAGCTACAAGGTCCTCATTCCAGGGTTTGCTGGGGATGCAATGGGAGTTTGGCCCATGAACTTGAACAAGACAAGTGTGCACCAAAAATCAGTGTGTCTTGGTAAAAAAATTAACTGAGAGATGAATGAGACTGTGAGTTTTTGGAGTCAAGGAACTCCTGGTTCTATTATTTATTTGCTGTGCGACTTGGCAGCCTCTCTGGGCTTGGGTTTACTCATCTGTAAATTGGAGCTAAGTCACATGCTTGTAGCAAGAATGAAAGGATAAGGTGCATGTGCTTTGGGATGAATTGTGTCTCCTCCCAACCACCGAAATTTGAGAAGCTCCAATCCCTAGGACCTCAGTACGTGATTGTATTTGGAGACAGTGTCTTTAGAGAGGTAATTAAGTTAAAAGGAGGCTGTTGGGGTGGGCCCTAATCCAATCTGGCTGCTATCTGTATAAGAAGAGGAGATTGGGACACAGAGGGACATGGGGAACGTGTGTGCAAAGGAGTGACCATGCCAAGAGGCAGTAAGAGGTCACCACCCACATGCCAAGGAGAGAGGCCCCAGAGAACCCAGCCCTGCTGGCACCCCCCAGGCTCTAGCTGCGAGAAAATACACTTCTGTGCTCTGAGCCACCCAGCCTGTGGTACTTAGCTTTGGCAGCCAGAGCTGACTAATTCAGTATGCAATTTAGCACGGTGCCTGCAAGGCAGCCAGCCTCAGTACGTGTTCACTGAAAATCCAACAACTGCACAATTCTGATGTCAAGACACTCAGAACAATGAGCAGAGAGGTGAGTAAAACGATAAGAGAAGAGAACCAGGGGGGCGCCTGTGTGGCTCGGTCGGCTAAGCATCTGGCTCTTGATTTTGGCTCAGGTCACGACTCAAGGTTGTGGGATCAAGTCTCGAGTCAGGCTGTGCACTGACGGCAAGGAGCCTGCTTGGGATTCTCTCTCCTCTCTCTCTGCCCCTCCTCTGCTTGTGCATTCTCTCTCAAAATAAATAAATATTAAGAGAAAGAAAGAAGAAAGGAAGAAAGGAAGAAAGGAAGAAAGAAAGAAAGAAAGAAAGAAAGAAAGAAAGAAAGAGTACCAGGGCAGCTTTAGGAGAATCTGAGTGAAAAACATGTGAGGGTCAGAATAGTGGGGGGACAGACTTGTGTGTAAGATGCTCTAGCCCTGGGCTGGGACTCTCCACCAGATCCCAGGGAGAGAAGGGATGAATGAGGGTCCTTTCCAGTTGTTTTCCTCATCAAGGACAGGTGGTAAAGGACAACAGCTGCTCCCCAATCCCAAAGTGGGGACGAGACCCAGGGAGCCAGGGCAAGGAATACTCACCAGTGGTAGTTGGGGCTGTGGCTCCATAGGTGTAACCTGCAGAGAGAAGGCCAGAGGAGCTGAGCGGGAGTTGGGGTGAGCATAAAGGAGTAAGGGAAAGGTAGGATTTAGGGGCCTTTGTGGGAAAAGCAGAGAGGGAGAGGCAGAAGAGGGATGCTTAGGGAGGAAGTGTCCAAATAGTGGGATCGGAGGTGGCTGGAGCCCATGGTACCATCATCGGAATGAACCCAGAGCAGAGGAGAAGGAGATGGGCCACAGCTTCCTTTAGAGAAACACAAACTCTGGCTGGGAAAGAGACCCTTGCGGGAGCACAGCCCCTCACCGTTGACACAGAGGCTGTCCCTGTCCAGGGTGAAGGGCCCCAGCCGGGTGATGCCATGGGTCTCACGGCTCAGCTCCCAGTATAGCCGCTCTCTGTCCAGCCTGGGGCCCGCAGGGTCAGAGTGGACGGTGCAGACGATGTCCACGCCAGTGGCTGCACCACCCTTCTCAAGCCTGGGGAAAGAAGGACATGGGGATGTTGAATACTGTTGGAGGGGTCCTTCTGGATGGGGACAGCCAGAAGGTAGAAGGCAGGAGGCGGAGAGCATACAAAAGGGCTGGCTCTGAAGGCCAGAGGGGCTCTCCTAAGTGTCTCTTGTTGGAGATGACTCCCTCACAACGAAGAACAGAAAACACCTTAATTGGGATTGGCAGACAAGATCTAGTGGTTCTTCCAAGAGGAAAGCTTTCATCTAAAACAGATGACCGTCTGGATTTTGTAAGTATAAGCACGATGCCTCACTTCTAGGTCTTGAGCGTTCCCACTCCGGGGGCATGAAGAAGGCATGAAAGTGTCGTGATGGGTGCTGGAGGCCAGCTGTGCCAAAGGCATGCCCAGGAACTGAGCCCTGCTGGCCAGAGCGTGAGGATCCACTGGACCCAACACATCCCTCCACCCGGGGGTCTCACCTGAGCGAGGCAAGTCTGCAGCCAGCGTAGAGGGGGCCGACACTGGTCTTACTGAGCAGGAGCTTGAGCTGGTGGGGAGAGAGAGGAGGGTGAGCAGAAGGGCTGAAGGGCTAGGCGGGCGGGCATTGGTGGCGCTGACGGTGGTCATTGAGCGGCTCTCACCTGGTGCTGGAGGATCCTCTTGGTGGAATTGAACTTCAAGGAACTGGGGTGCCCCATGTCCTCAGTGTAGTGCAGGTTGGTGATGGTGAAGTTCAGGGTGAAGGACACCAGAGCAGGGCCAGTGGCTGCAGTGAGGAAGGAAGAGAAAAATGTCCAGCTTGGACCACGGTAAGGGCCTGGAGGTTACCTGGAGGTTACCTGGAGCTCTAATGGTAGAGTACTGGCAGAGGACCTAAGTACAGCCATGGACTGCAGAAGTGGAAGGAGAGAACATTATGTAATTCTTCACTCATTTCGTTCAGTGAGCATGTACCAGGTGTCTCATGTGTGTGAGGCCCTGTGCTAGGCTCTGCGGGTCCAAGGTGGGGCATAGGCTGCTAATATTGAGGCCAGGAGAGTGGCCAGACCATCATGCTGCAGGGGAGCCCAGAGGCTGTGCATTTCCAGAGGGGTATCCAACAAATGACTGAGGACAGCTTCCAGGAGGAAGCATCACTTCAGATGTGACCAAGAGCATGAGTAAGAGTCGGCTGAGCAAGAGGAAGAGCACTCAAGTGGAAGAATCAGCCTCTGGACACAAGCCCAGCAGGAGGACAGGGCAGTTGTACTCAAGGGACTTGAATGCTTTCATTGTGGCCATGAGGAAGTATAGATGTGAGACTGGAGGGGTCCTGGGAGCCCAGAAAGGGGGGGGGGCAGTGACTATGCAGCTCAGGGGTTTGGACATGTAGATAAGGTGGAGTCATTCAAAGATCGTCAATAAGACAGCAATTATGTGGACAGAGGGAGGGACGCTGCAGCTGCTGTGCAGAGGACTGTAGGAGGCCAGAGAAGAGGCTACTGCATTAGTCCTGGCAAAAAAAAAAAAAAAATGCCCATGGCCTGAATCAAGGCTGAGTGACACAGATACAGAGAAAGGACTTGCAAGATATTACAAAGGGAGAAGAGATGATTTGGTGATGGATGGATGGATGGATGTGGGAGGTGAATGAGAGGGAGGGCCAAATTGACACCCATGTCCCTGCATTTGGTAATAAGGAAAGGGAGTAAGTTTGGGAGGAGACTGTGACTTCAGAGTCAGAGACCAAGGGCCCCGGTGATGTCCAGGAGGTGGGTGGGTGGACCAAGCATCAGAAGCTGCTTCATGGAGTGGGCTAGACTCGAGATTTGGATTCTGAGCAGCTGGACCCACAGAAGCTAGATGCTCCCTGAAACCCATGGGAATGGATGAGTTTCCTTGGGGAAGCTGAATAAGCAATGAGAGAAGAAGTGATCTCGAATGAAGGATTTCGTAGAAATGATTTTGGTACCAGTAGGACCTTCCTACTTGAGGGCTTGAGGGTTGGAGCTAGAGAAGGACGCGGAGGTGACAGCAGCGGAGGGAGAAAACCACAAGGGATGCTATCAGAGGTGTGCTCCATCGGTGTGGGAATGGTGGTAACAGTGGTGGCTCCTGTGATAAATTGTGTCCTTGTCTCTCTGCCCATTTAGCCTGGAGTCAGGGCATCGTCCTCAGTTGTGTTGGGGGGAGGGCCGGCTCCTGTCACCTCCAGCTCGGCCCACATTTCCATACATGTCCTCTGGACTTCCCATCCAGAAGGGGGGGAACAGGAGGGAAGGCCTGGCTGACTGAGCAGCCCCCATCTTTAGGGGAAGGGTGGTGGTCACAGGCACACGAGGTCGGAAATACTCACTGTTGGGGGTGGTGGCTGAAGCCGGTTGGGTGTGACCTGCAAAGAGAAGGCAAGATGAGGAGGAGGGGAACGGAGAGGTCCTGCGTGAAGGGGCAACTTGGCTGTGAGGCAGCTGGACCATCCCAGCCATGATTCCTCACAAGGAAGACAATCCGGAAGACATCTCCGGAGAGACCAAAACCTTGCCCAAAGCACAGGAAATGTGAGCCCCAGGGGAAGTCTGAATTCATGCGGTGCCTGCTGCTGCAGAACCCACAGCGAGCAGGAGACCCACAGCCTGGCACAGCCCGCACCACAGATGGAGAGTCTGTCATCCCGGAAGCTGGGAGCAGACAGGTGCTCGGGGTGGGGACCTCATCATCCTGCAGATGCCAGGGACCGGGGGCCTGTGTCTGGGGCTCTAATGGGCATGGATCCCCATTCACCCGAGGCTGGGGTGGAGCAGGGATGCAGAGGGCAGGCAGTGGGCTCCTGGCCTCTTCTGTTCTAAGGGCAGGGCCTCACGTGCTTGCAGGGACTTCTGAAGCCTCTGAATACTCACTGCTGGGGGTGGTGGCCTGCGTCTGGTGGGTGAAACCTGCACAGGTCGAGGGAGAAACGGTGAGGAGGGGGAGGAGTGAGGGAAAGGGAGGAATGGATGGAGAGGAGGATGTGGGGCCTGGAGAAGTGCAGACACGGGTGGCAGCCCCTCACCATTGATGTAGAGACTGTTGGGATCCAGGGTGTAGGGACCCAGCCTGGTGACACCATGGGTCAGCTGGCTCAGCTCCTGGTACAACCTCTCTCTGTCCAGCCCAGGGCCCGTGGGGTCAGGGCGGTGGGTGCAGACGGCATCCACTCCAGTGGCTGCCCCATCCTTCTCGGGCCTGGGGAGGGCGGGTAGAGGTAACAATTGATGCAGTCCCCAGGCAGGGCTCCTGGGACCCCTGGGGCGGGCCAGGAAGGGGCCAGGGGAAGCGAGGAGGCTGGAACCCACCTCTGGCCAGCCTGGGACCATGCACACTGTCAATGGGTGGGAGGATTTTTATTAAATTGCAAGTCTGAAACCTGCAGCCTCACGGCATGGGGACGGGAGGGCTTCTACTTGAGACAGGCGGAGAGCTGGGATTGGGGATTAAAGCAAGTGGAAAAGGCATGCTTGTCTTGAGAGGAATCCTGGGGATAGAACTGAAAACCTCAAGGAAGTACCCTCTTTGGTCAAATGGAGGCAGGAGGAAATTCAGAAGGATGACCAGACTAGGGTCCCCATCCTACTGAGGGACTCTGCAGAATCTGGGAACAGTTTGGTGGGGGGAGGGGGGGGAGGGAGGCGGTTACAATCAGAAGAGGCCTTGATCCTGGAGCCAGTACCTCCTGAATTCCACCTCTGCTGAGGACAGAGAGGGCAGGAAGGAAGCAGAGGGAACTCCTAGGGTCTGCAAGCGCTTAAGGCAGCCCTGGCCAGGGATTGTAAGGTCTCACCTGAGCAAGGTCAGTCTGCAGCCTGAGTACAGGGGGCCCACACTGGTGTTCTGGAACAAGGGTCCGAGCTGTGGGTGAGGGCAAGGAAACTTAATAGATGACCTTGGGGCACCTGGGTGGCTCAGTCAGTTGAGCGTCCGACTTCGGCTCAGGTCATGATCTCACGGCTCTCGTGAGTTCCAGCCCCGCGTCAGGCTCTGTGCTGCCAGCTCAGAGCCTGGAGCCTTCTTCGAATTCTGTGTCTCCTTCTCTCTCTGCCCCTACCCCACTTGTGCTCTGTCTCTCAAAAATAGATAAATGTAAAAAAAATATTAAAAAAACATAGATGATCTGTGATGCAGGGGCACGATGGGTATCGGTGGGTGGGGCAAGAGTGAGGTGGGAGGGGCTAGCTCCCGGAGGATGGGGCAGGAGTGGGTGGGGCTGGCACCAGAATGCAGGATGGAGACTAGGTGGGCGGGGCTGGCAGAGTGAGGTGGGCGTGGCTCTCACCTGGCGCTGCAGGGACCTCTCCGTGGTGTTAAATTTCAAGGATCCAGGAGGCTGCATGTCCTCAGCGTAGGGTAGGTTGGTGATAGTGAAGTTGAGGGTGAAAGGCACAAGGGGATGTCCCGTGGCTGCAGCAGGGGAGGGAGAGGAGAGGCCAGGCTGTCAGGCCCGGGATGGATACGCGGCAGGGCCTGGGAATAGCAGCCGTCTCACTGGGGACTGTAGCAGGGGCTGAGGATCCTTGGGGACCTAATCTCAGAACCACCGGTGTGGACACGAGACCATCACATGATGCAGGCGAAGGTGGGCGTGATTTGCAGGAGACAGTTTACCACCTGACATTCTTATTTACTCAAGCCCACGTTCAGGTACTTCCTTCCGTCTGCCCGACCACCCCCACGTGGTGGCCATTTCTCTGTGTCCAGCCAACAGCACAGAGGTGACGCACAGCTGAGTCTTACTGCAATGACTTCCCAGCCTGTGTCCCTGATCTCTTTCTTCCCTCCCTGACAGCTGGAGGTGTGAGCCGGGGCCCGCCGCCTCCTTCCCTGGTGGTGGCGGGGGGAGCTCCTGAAGTCCCCTGAGTACTCACCACTGGGGGCGGTTACTGGTGTCTGGTGGGTGTAGCCTGCGGAGAGAGGGCGACAGAGAGGGGAGGTGTTGAGGTGGAGCAGGACTAAAGAAGCCCCGGGGGTTGGGGTGGGGGGGAAACGTGAGCTTGACAGCTCAGCCGAGGGCAGGTGGCCGATACTCACCACTGACACAGAGACTGTCCTGCTCCAGGGTGTAGGGGCCCAGCCAGGTGATACCACGGGTCAGCCGGCTCAGCTCCCAGTACAGCTTCTCTCTATCCAGCCCGCGGCCCGCAGGGTCGGGGCGGTAGGAGCAGATTGTGTTCACCCTGGTGGCTGCTCCAGCCTTCTCGGGCCTGGGGAGGGCAGGACACAGCGGTGCAGAAGGTTAAGGTCCATCTGCAGAGGGCCCCTGAGGGCTACCATTATGGGGGCACCAGGGGGAAAGCCAGGAAGCGGTGCGGTTCCTGTCGACAGGCCCCGAGATGCTCGTCATCCACCACTGAGGGAATTTGCTCCACATGCTGAAAATGGTTCCTTCCGGGGCCGCCTCCTGAGACCGGGCCCCTCTGTGTTTTATGATGCACCATCACCACACTGCCGAGTCTCACTTAAAATGGGAATCTGCCTTTGTTGGGAATCTGCTGAAATCCTTCCGGCTCCCTACTGCCTGTGGATGAAGCCCCGCTGTGCTGTCCCAACATGCACATCACGACATTCACGGCCACCCCGCGCCTCCCCCCTTGTGGGTGAGAATGTCTGCTCTGCATGCTGGCTACCTTAGGCTCTCAGCTGTGGCTCCCTCTCCCTCAACCACTCCTCCTGGCCCGGAGCCATGTCTCCTGGCCACCGAGTCCTCCTCTCCAGGTACGAGCTGCCACTTCAGTTCCTCCTGGACCCACTACACTTCCCATCTCTCGGCACTGCAACAGTCTCTCCGGGCCTCAGTTTCTCATCTATAAAATGGGTGTTAATCATGGTACCCAGGTATGTTTCGTGAGGATTAAGTCTGTTGATGTAAGTATAATGCTTACAACGGTATCTGGTACATCCCTAAGTGCTAGGGGAGTATCTGCCACTATTGTTTTATTCACCATTAATTATGTGTTTTTATATCATTAATCACATAATTCACATATAATAATTACATATAATTAATTTCTGTGCATATGTTTGCATGTGTTTGCATATAATTAATGTGGTACCCTCTTTTTGATGGCAGAGTCAATGCTTTGGCCTCCATGGAGATTTCAGAGCTCAGCATGGAGCTTGGACACAGTACATGCTCAAGCAATGCTTGTGAATGCAAAGAAAATTTGTAGAATGCCAGGGCAGTGGTAGGAGGGCACTTCTGCTGTGGGTGCATCAGTACCCTGGGCTAGACCCCAAGAAAGAGGGCCTCATTCCATCCTGCTCTATCCTAGCACCGCAGGGAGGGAATCCTTTCTCAAATTCTATTTTTGGAGCCATGGAGATATCCTGGGGAGATGCCCACCAAGGCTGAACCCTCCAGGGGACCTCGGAATGGAGAGGGCCCCCTCATGCTCAGAAGCCCCATCACTCAGTGAAAGGCGGCTGAGTTGCACATGTCTGCACTGGAAGGGAGCAGGGAATTGAAGGCGGGGATTATAGGGAAGGGAAGGGAACCCATGGTTCTTCCCAAAGAAAAGAAGCAAAGCAAGCTTAGTGGGAACAGGTATGGACTCTGAGGAGGCTGGGCTTGAGTCCTGGCCCCACCACTTGACAGCCACTGGCTCTGAGAAGGCTCCTTAGCTTTTTTGTGCCTTGATGATTTCCCATCTATAAAATAGGGGTAATAGTAGTGACATTAAGAGAGTCCAGGGAGATGATGGACAGGAAGCATCTCGCCCAGTGACTCTAACCTGGGGCGCTCTGGATCAGGAGCCATTTGGCAATGCCTGGTGACAGATTTGATCGTCACTACTTTGGGGTGGGGATACTATAGGCATCTATCGAGTAGTCAAGATGCTGCTAACTAGCCTACAGTGCAGAGGACAGCCAGCCATGACAAGGACTCTCTGGCCCAGAATGTCAGTAGTGACCATACACCAAGAACTCCAATGTCTGACTAAGTATTTGCTGTGTGTCAGCCTTCAGAAATATTTGCATGTAGTGTGGACATGGCAGACTGGGGATCATAGCCTTTGTGAAGGATCAGGGATGGGTCCTTTATGAAGGAATTCGGTTCCAGCAACTTTCCAGCTGCTATGATTTGTCATTTTGTTCCCATTAAATATTGCATGGGAGATTTGAGACTCAGGAGGATGGAAAGGTCTGGAGCAGGGCCTGGGGGCCAGCAGCCCAAGGGACAGTGGTTACCCCAGGTTGGGAGCTGGAAAGGGCTGAGGCCAAAGTGAGGAGTGAGCCCTGGAGGACCGTGGTAAGAATCTCCACTGTGCCTCACTGGGCCATCTTCTCTGGGGGTCCCACCTGAGCGAGGTCAGTCTGCAGCCAGAGTAGAGGGGGCCGACACTGGTGTTCTTGAATAAGGGTCTGAGCTGTTGAAGGAGAGGGAGGTGAGCGGAAGGTCTGAGCTTGACGAGGGCAGGGTTGGGGCAAGCTGGGTGGGGACGGCAGCCATTGGGGGACAGGGAGAGGTGGGTGGGGCACGAGGGAGGTAGGCGGGACATGGGAGAGGTAGGTGGGGCTGGGGTCAGTGGGTAGGCGGGCATCAGCAAGTGGTACAGGAATGAGGTGGGCGGGGCTCTCACCAGGCTCTGCAAGACCTTCTCTATTTCGTTGAACTTGGCTGACCCCATAAACTGCATGCTCTCTGTGTAGCGCAGGTTGGTGATGGTGAAGTTGAGGGTGAATGGAACCAGGTCAGGGCCGGAGACTGCAGTGAGGTTGGGAGAAAAGTCATGCCCTGAGCCACTGTCTAAGCTGGGTTTAGGGATGGTGGGGTAGAGTCTGGATCCACATCCCTGGTGCCCAGTATATTCACATCTAGTTCAAGAGCTCAGAACATCTTCTCCCCAAATGGGAGACTTTATTTTGTTATTCTACTAATAGTAATGATGTTAATAATCACAACAAAAATAACAGCAATCATGAGAGCTGATGTTTGGTAAGAGCTTCCTCTATGCTCAGAACTTTCCATCCAGTATCTCATGTAGTCCTCAAACAAACCCTGGAAGTGAATCCTTTTATTTAGTCCCAGTTGACAGAGGATGAAAACAAGTTTCAGAGAAGTTAAGTCACTTCCCCAAAGCCACACAGCTATTTTAGGACAGAAGCCCAAATTCTAGAGCTTGAATGACTTAAACATGAGTCCTGCCCATCTGCTGGTTGTGTGACCTCAGAAAAACACTCAGCCCCGCAAGAACCAGTCTATGCCTCTCTCAAACAGAGAAAGAGCAGCGTCCATCCGCTGGGGTCGAAGATAATACACGTAAAGCAGAGTCTGCATGATGTGACAAACGAGCTGTGAATGGTGCTGTCACTGCTTTGTAGACATTGTTGCTGTTGCTACTTACATCTGCTTTCTCTGCTTTCGTCTCTGCCCTTTGGGAATTAGTCCTGGATTTGCCCATGACTATTTCCATTCTACTCTAGCAGGAGGTAAAGCTTTGAGAGTTGTTCCAGAATGTACCACTGCATCTAATCTCACTAACCGACCCCCCATGGGTCCCCTAAGGCCAACACGGTCACAGGTTGGTCCCTGGCAGGTCACCTGAGGCAGATTGTAAAAGTGACCACAGATTCTACACCCTTGCAGTGTGGTGTGGCAGCCCCTTCTGCCAAGAGCCTATTTCTTGACTTTTGGCCGTGACTTGCTTTGGCCAATGGGATGGCCTCTCTTGCTTCTAGGAAGTCTGTGATCACCATATGAGGAAGCCACAGCTAGTCTATGGGATGATGAGAGGCCACATGAAGGGAACTGAGGCACCCCAGCCATCCGTCAGTTATCTTCCAGAAGCAGAGTCACCTAGCTTACGGGCAGGTGACTACAGACACATAAGGGAGCCTGGTTCAGACCCAAGGAACTGTCCAGCTGACCTATATACTAGAGAGCAGAGCAGTATGTGATTGTTTTAATCCAGTAAATTTGAGGGTCATTTGTTATGCAGTAAAACCTAGCTGATACAACACCTTCACAGAAAGCAGAGGGGATTAAAAGGCGTCACTGCTTTAGCCTGGGATTGAAAACCCAGAGTTACAGAGCTATCCAAACCTAGGGATGGAGTTGGACTGGTCTGTTACAAAGGCATGGTCCCCAAAAATCATCCTCCCCACACTGTCCCCTTGTTGTGACCTGCCTGCACATACCTTTTGCCCTTCTCATTGCTAAGCACAGAGGCACGTGGGTGGGAAGGAAGGAGACATGGAGAAAAGGCTCTTACCTGTAGAGCTGGAGAAGGAGATTGGAGCTACTGAGGTTCCTGAGGGTGTAGAAATCACAGGAACTGAGAAGCAAACAGCATAAATAAGAAAGATGCAGCCTTATAACCTTGGAGATGCCGAAGACAGGGGCCCTTGATACCCAGCCCGAGTCACAGAAGGTAGAGGTAGGGGTATGGGGGTGACCAGGCCCCTCAAGGCTTCCTTCCTCCATGAGGCCCTGGGCTAGGGTAGAGGGAGCAGCTGTTCCCACAAGGTGTGGGGGCATAGAGCCATGTAGGGTTTGAGCACTTACCACTGGGGATGGGGGTCAGTGGTGATCTGGTGTAACCTGCAGAGAGTGGATAAGAGAGAGGTGGGATGTTTGAAAAGTTTAAGCAAAGGATGAAGGGGCTGGGCCACTGCTGGAAGGACAGATTCCATCAGGAGGTCTTGTCCCTTCCAGACAGTGGGTAGTGCCTCCTATAACCTTTCTGTGACTCTCCACCTCCCTGTGTGTGATGTAGCCCTTGGTGGGGAAGGAGGATCTCACAAGGAAAAGAAGAATGAGGACAAAAGCGTCTAGAGGCAGACAGGGATGTATCCTCTGTCCAGAGCTCAGGGCACCAACAGAATAATCCATCTGGGGTACAGGAGGAGACCCCTGTCACCACCAGATGCTCACCGTTGACAAAGAGACGGTCCCTGTCCAGGATGTAGGAACCAAGCTGGGTGACACCATGGGTCTGGCGGCTCAGTTCCCAGTAGAGGCGCTCCCTGTCCAGCTGGAGACCCGAAGGGACAGGTCGGTAGGTGCAGACAGCGTCAACTCCAGTGGCTGTTCCACCCCTTTCAGGCCTGGGGAGAGAAGGACCTGGGCATGGGTATGGGACAGAACGGCATCCCGGGCAGGACATCATTCTGTCAGCCCGCTTGTATGTGAATGCTTGCTTCCCTGTTTTTTGTTGTCCAGACAGGAGCTGCTCCTAAGAGGAGGGGCATCTTTACACAACAAAGGACCAGAGTGGGTGTTTTAGAGTCAGATGACCATCGGTTCAAACCTTGGCTCCGTCACTTGTTGAATAATCCACATAAGTGGGTCTAACTCGGTTCTCCCATCTTTGCAGTGTGGATAATGCTCTAACCCTTTTGTTAGAATGTCATGGTGTTTGGGGGGTACCTGGGAGGCTCAGTTGGTTAAGCACTCAACTTCCGCTCAGATCATGATCTCATGGTTCATGAGTTCAAGTCCCGCATCAGGCTCTGTGCTCACAGCTTAGAGCCTGGAGCCTGCTTCAAATTCTGGGTCTCCCTCTCTCTCTGCCCCTCCACTTGGGCTCTCTCTCTCTCTCTCTCTCTCAAAAATAAATAAAAACATTTAAAAATATCATTTCAGAATGTCATGGGGTTTGGAAATGATACTAATATCTAGCTTTGGTGCCAGATACTCTTTAATTAATTGTTTAATTGTTTAACAAATATTCATAGAACCAAGCATTTACAGTCCCTAGCACTGGATAGCAGCTCTGAGCACTGGATTCTGCTCTGAGCAGTTGATCCAACCCAACTTTTGGACCTGAGCATCTGAGCATGAGATGCTGCCTAGCAAAGACCCCCTACCCACCGTCCACCTGCTTCTTGTATTCCCAGCTCCCCGGCAAAGGAAGCAGGAAAAATTAACCCTGAAGGACAGGTAGCACTGCCAGATTACTGGGGAGGGACAGAGTATCCCTTGCACCTCAACAGGATGGAAGTGACCTGGAGCCAAGCTGCTTCTAGCTCTGGTCTCCTAGAAACTTGATAAAGGTGCAATGTCACTCGTGTTTCCCAGTGATGCTGCTTATGGTGAAAATGACCCCTTGTTGACGGCCTGCATCTTTTCTGGGAGGGCCGAAAATGGACAACAATACCTGACAGGAAGCTATCGCTTTGGGCTTCCTTAGGCGTGGTAAACCTCTTAACGTGTCAGGACTGTTACAAGAGATACTGGTTACCTTTTGGGACATGGAACATGTAAGCCAGAGTGGCCCCATCTCCTATCCACTGAAGTTACGTTTCTTTGCACATTAACCGTCATCTGGATTCCAAAAGAATAGTCCTTGGACTTCTAAGAAGGTTCTTAGAAAAAAGAAACGTCCGATGCTTGCCGTGCTGGCATGCCATTTCTTGTCTGAGTGTGACCTGTTCGGATCTTGCAAGTTTGATGATTGGATTGGATTTAAGATGACCTAGAGAGAGCTGGCACCAGAGCTGGGAACTGTGTGAGACACGCAAGGTGCCTGGATGCAACATTTAAGGGAGTGCTTGCTCTCAGGGGCTGTGCAGACACAGGGTGAGCACCTGAGGGGGAGCGCCTCCTTAAATTTTGTGCCCTTGGCACCTACTTCCCTCCCCAGGCCAGGCCCTGGCCAGCCCAACCAGCCCATCCCTTACTATGCCTCCTAAGGCAAGACAAAGAAGTGGTCTCAGGGGCGCCTGGGTGGCTCAGTCCGACTTTGGCTCAGGTCATGATCTCACAGTTCATGGGTTCGAGCCCCATATGGGACTCTGTGCTGACCGATCGGAGCCTGGAGCCTGCTTTGGATACTGTGTCTCCCTCTCTCTGCCCCTAACCCACTCGCATTCTGTCCCTGTCCCTTTCAAAAATAAACATTAAAACAATGTTTTTAAAAATTAAAAAAAAAAAGAAGAGGTCTCACCTTAGTGTGGTCACTCTGCAGCCAATGTAGAGCGGACCAATGCTGTTGTTGGCAAACAAGGGCTTGAGCTGGGAAGGAGGAAGAGGGTGAATGAAAAATAGACGTAAAAGCAACCATCATTTTAAAACACCATATTCAAAAATAAAACAGCAGCTCCCCAGTCATCTCGATACAACACTTAATTCTCAGAAGAACCCTTTGGGATCAATGCTTTTATGATCTTAGTTTTACAGAGGAGGAAATGGTACCAGAAGGCAAGATCACTACTCCGAAGGCACATCACTTCTCCATGGCAGATCCAAGTTTTGAACCTAGAAACTGTCTTCCCCTCCAGCCGTCCGTATCCTCCAGAAGTATAGGAAGGAGACTAAAAGAGGGTGGGGAGGACGTTGGAAGAGAGGGATGGGTTTCAGGGGGTTCTCACCAGGCGTTGTAGAGCTGACTCTGTGGAGTTAAACTTTGCCGAGCTCGGCTGCATGTCCTTCGTGTAGTGCAGGTTGATGATGGTAAAGTTCAGGGTGAAGGGCACTGGGGCAGGACCAGCAGCTGCAGTGGGGAAGGAGGAGAAGAGGCTATGCACTGAGTCGGGTCTGGACCAGCTGTAAGGCAATGGGCCACTGGGACACACGACCCTAGCCTGCTCAGAGGACTCTATCATCTTGGAGATGCCAGGGAGAGACTACCCTCACCTGGGATGTTTTTGGGTATCGTTCTCTGTTCATCTGAGGCTGGGGATGGGGTGGGGGTAGGGAGCGGAGGCAGTGGTATGTTCTATTTCATGTGGTCCCGGCTTTGGCCACCTACGGAAACTGAAGATGGTGGTGTCTGGGCGTTTCCTAATGAGCCAGAGCTGGTGCCTGCCTGTCAGCAACTAGGGTATTTGTTCTTTCCCCTTTTATTGACCACAGTCACTTATTTGCTGCTCTGTAGACCTTTTTTTAAAAATATAATTTATTGTCAAATTGGCTTCCATACAACACCCAGTGCTCATCCCAACAAGTGCCCTCCTTGATGCCCATCACCCACTTTCCCCTCTCCCCCACCCCTCCTCAACCCTCAGTTTGTTCTCTGTATTTAAGAGTCTCTTATGGTTTGCCTCCCTCCCTCTCTGTTTGTAACTACTTTTTTTCCCCTCTTCCCTTCCCCCATTAGCTCCTAGGGTATTTACTTCTTCACAGCAGGCTGGGAACCCATGAGTGCAAAAGCCTGCTAGGACCAAACTCAAGATTTTTCATATCCAATTGTTTTAAACATAGCCCAAACAGGCAGATTTCAGCCACTTTGAGCCTGCCTGCTTCGCGCACCCCCATGAAACCGCACCCAACAACGTAGAGCTGTAAAAAGACCAACCCTGTGGCTACAAAGGGCCTAGCCACTAGCTGCCCATCAGAGCTATCTAACCCAGAGACTCCCCACCAGGCTGGTGAGTGACGTGAGGTAGACTGAGAACGCCTTCTCTGACCACTCTCCTCCCCTGGGAGTTCCCTTGCCCTGCTCCCCTTTTGAGGAGGGATCCTCATGCCCTAACCTCTTAAAGATGTCTGCTTGGAGGTTCCTCCCCGGCAGGCAAACCAGTGCTGCCCACCCACGTTTGTGTGCGCTACTGCCATCTACTGGTGGTATCTTTTTCTTTGCTCAACGCCCAAATCCCTCAAAACCCCTAGGCTGGGTTGAACGAACCTGAGACCAGGTGATGAACCAAGAACTAAAGACCCTAAGACTGTCCTGGCTCCAACCAGCTTCTTTCTCCTACCAGAGCACCTTTGAAGACCCTCCCAGGCAGGTTCAGCCTTCAATGCCACGTTTGAAAATTTGCCTGAGGAACAATTTTTCAGCTAACGATTTTTCCCCCAATTAACTCATTTAATAAGACTTATTTTATAAATAAGTCCTCTCAAGTATATCCTCATTCAAAAGTATATTTAAAGCAAGCAGGCAAAACCAGCTTCTTTCGGTTGTCTTTAAAAACAATTTTTTTAAATGAATTACTGGGACTTTATGAAGATAAAAAGTTTCTGCACAGCAAAGGAAACAACCAACAAAACTAAAAGGCAACCAACGGAATGGGAAAAGATGTTTGCAAATGACATATCAGACAAAGGGCTAGTATCCAAAATCTATAAAGAGCTCACCAAACTCCACACCCGAAAAACAAATAACCCAGTGAAGAAATGGGCAGAAAACATGAATAGACACTTCTCTAAAGAAGACATCCGGATGGCCAACAGGCACATGAAAAGATGCTCAACGTCAC